ATTTTCAATTGGGAGGGAGTCTCAGATTCTGAAATCCAGTTCTGGGCGAGTCTCTAGGGACCCAGACTCAAACGGGAGAAGCGGGACTGTCTGGCATCGGTCGGAACGTGAGGGCAGCTTTCTCTCCGAGGTTTGCAGCGCTTGCTGGGACTCTGAGCGGCAGAGCCTCTGGGGACAGGACTGAGAGCAGCCATAACTGCTCCCTTCACCTGCTCTGTTGATCCTGTGTGACCCACCCCGCCCAAGCCCTGTGCAGAGCCATTTGCCAGATAGCCTCAGGCAAAGGCTAGATTAGCACCTCCCTAGAGGACAGAAGTTTTCCCACTGAAGACACAGCTGATTCTCACAGCCAGTTGGCCTGGAGGTCAAATCCCCCTAGTATTAACTACAACAATCAAGGCTTAACTACAACAAGACTGCGCACAAAGACCACTAGGGGGTGCACCAAGAAAGCATAAAAAATGCGGAGACAAAGAAACAGGACAAAACTGTCAATGGAGGATATTGAGTTCAGAACCACACTTTTAAGGTCTCTCAAGAACTGTCTAGAAGCCGCCGATAAAGTTATTGAGATCCTCAAGAAATCTAATGAGACCCTCGATGTTGTGATAAAGAACCAACTAGAAATTAATCATACACGGACTGAAATAATGAATATGATACAGACTCCCAACAGCAGACCAGAGGAGCGCAAGAATCAAGGCAAAGATTTGAAATATGAAGAAGCAAAAAACACCCAACCAGAAAAGCAAAATGAAAAAAGAATCCAAAAATACGAAGATAGTGTAAGGAGCCTCGGGGACAGCTTCAAGCGTACCAACATCAGAATTATAGGGGTGCCAGAAGATGAGAGAGACCAAGATATTGAAAACCTATCTGAAGAAATAATGACAGAAAACTTCCCCTACCTGGTGAAAGAAATAGACTTACAAGTCCAGGAAGCTCAGAGAACCCCAAACAAAAGGAATCCAAAGAGGACCACACCAAGACACATCATAATTAAAATGCCAAGAGCAAAAGACAAAGAGAGAATCTTAAAAGCAGCAAGAGAAAGAAACTCAGTTACCTACAAGGGAGTACCCATACGACTGTCAGCTGATTTCTCAACAAACTTTGCAGGCCAGAAGGGAGAGGCAAGAAATATTCAAAGTGATGAATACCAAGAACCTACAACCAAGATTACTTATCCAGCAAAGCTATCATTCAGAATTGAAGGTCAGATAAAGAGCTTCACAGATAAGGAAAAGCTAAAGGAGTTCATCACCACCAAACCAGTATTATATGAAATGCTGAAAGGTATCCTTTAAGAAGAGGAAGAAGAAAAAGGTAAAGATACAAATTATGAACAACAAATATGCATCTATCAACAAGTGAATCTAAGAATCAAGTGAATAAATAATCTGATGAACAGAATGAACTGGTGATTATAATAGAATCAGGGACATAGAAAGGGACTGGACTCACTATTCTTGGTGGGGAAAGGGGTGTGGGAGATGCGGGAAGAGACTGTACAAAAATTGTGCACGTAGGGATGAGGACAGTGGGGGGGGGGCGGGTAAGGGCAGAGGGTGGGGTGGGAACTGGGTGGAGGGGAGCTATGGGGGGAAAAAAAGAGGAACAAATGTAATAATCTGAACAATAAAGATTTACTAAAAAAAAAAAAAATTACTCTTGTGGACAATATTAGCAGATAGCTTATTAATCTTTATTTCAGAAAATGACCCCAAACTAATTGTGTTTTCTAACAGCAGGCTTCCTGTGTACAAAGGGTCTACTCTTGAGACATTCTTTTAAAGTGTCTCCACTTTTGCCTCAAAGGTCCAGAGGCTGATGCCAATTTCATTACATAAGAAAATCAGGATCATAGTCTTCCTTCGCTGTTTCTGGCATCAGCTTTAAGTTCTGAACATCTTCCACCCCCAGGAACACTTCTTAAGATGAAATCTTTATTAGAACTGCCTGAAAATGTATGCAGCTTGGACCATTAGACTCTGGTGACACCTGAGGAGTTCACTCCATGAATGGCTCAGAAAGTAATGGAAAAATAGGCAGAGATTAAATACTTATGGCAGTTCACAAAATGAAATACAACACAGATTATCAATCTGTGTTCTATTCAAGGTACATTCTTAGGTTAAAAAGTGCATTGTGTATAGTAGACTTCCATGTGTTTTAAAAAGGGGACATATATGCTTATATGTGTATAAAATATTTTTGGAGAGTTCAACAGGATATTAGTCATGGGGATTGCCTCTAGGGAAGAGAAATAGAGGACTGGGAGTCTAGGATTGCAGAGATTTAATATTTTTATACTTTTCATAGTGTTTGAATTTTTTATTTTGTGTATATACATATATTACTTTTTCAATTAAAAATAGTTCATTTTTGCCTGGCCAGTGTGGCTCAGTGGTTGAGTGTTGACAGATAATCCAGGAGGTCACGGTTCAATTCCCAGTTAATAATTCTCTCTCATCATTGATGTTTTTCTCTCTCTCCCTCTTCCTTCCTCTCTGAAATCAATAAAGATATATTTATTTTAAAGTTAATTTTACAACATGTTATGCAAACCCATTAAGATAAAGGGAGATTTCTTTGAGGACAATCATATAAACAGATGTTTATTATAACACCAAAATTCATTACCTGTCATTTACATATCTTGTACAACTTACAAAGAGTTCCACATCCATTGCCTGACTGAGTGCTCATCACAACCTTTTGAAATAGGTGGGACAAATACTAGAAGCAGCACTTCATACATTTTTTTTAAAAAATAACCTAAAGTTTAAAGGAGTTCAAAATCTAGAGCATACTTTCACGAAAGAAGTTTGAAGTGATTGATATAATTTGCATATATTGAAACCTGAAATTTCACAGTATTTTGAGCTATCAAGTAGTTTATGAATAGCAGTGTTTTAAAGCCTTCAGAGATATTCCTTGCAGTATTGATCTCTTAACGAAGAAACTCTTGCATATGGGAGGAAGGAGGCAGAAAAAACAACCTACTGAAACACTTTGTGTAAAATACACCTAATCTTAGAGCATACATTGTCAACTAATGCCTGGTTGAAAATTAACATTTAAAAAGTTGCATCCAGCCGAAACCGGTTTGGCTCAGTGGATAGAGCGTCGGCCTGCGGACTGAAAGGTCCCAGGTTCGATTCCGGTCAAGGGCATGTACCTGGGTTGCGGGCACATCCCCGGTGGGGGATGAGCAGGAGGCGGCTGGTCGATGTTTCTCTCTCATCGATGTTTCTGACTCTCTATCTCTCTCCCTTCCTCTCTGTAAAAAATCAATAAAATATATTTAAAAATAAATAAATAAATAAATAAAAATAAAAAGTTGCATCCAAAACCTCCCTATATAGATGTTTAACTTTGAAATAGAACAAACCTAAAATAATTGCCTACATGGAAAAAGAGGGAAATGAAAAATCATCACTACTAAATCTTGAAAATATACCCTAAAGTTTTATGGCTATGTTCATTGTATCTCCAGTGTCCCCGGACAGTCCAATTTTCACCTCCTGTCCCCAAGTAGTTATTGATAGCACCCCTTTTACTCTCAAAAGTGTCCTAGTTTGAGTAATAAAGTATACCTCCACCCTATGAAATATGACAGTCTAGGCTAGGGCCTAGTCTAGGCCCATGGTCAACAAACTGCGGCTCGCGAGCCACGTGGGGTTCTTTGGCCCCTTGAGCGTGGCTCTTCCTAAGCCTTATTAAGTTAATAACAATGTACCTACCTGTATAGTTTAAGTTTAAAAAAGTTGGCTCTCAAAAGAAATTTCAATCGTACTGTTGATATTTGGCTCTGGTGACGAATGAGTTTGCCGACCACTGTAGACTCTAGGTTCATACATTTTTAAGATCCTCACATTCTAGCATTTGGGCTTCATCCCAAAGCTAAAAATTACCCTCATTCATGAAAAGGCTGAAGATCCATGCTCAGATTTTAGCTACATACGTATAAGACTCAAATAATAATAAAAGCAAGTCGTTTCCAAACACTACTCACCAGCAACTGTTGGCTTTATTAAAGAGATTAATAGTGAGAAGAGAGTCTCAAGGTCTGAACTGGAAGTTTTGGTTTGTGGAGGTTTAAAAGGGAAATGTGAACCAAGTTTGACTTTGTGAGATTGAGGCAGAAGACAACTGATTTCACTTAACAGAGTTCAAAATTGAACACCACCATCCCTCCCCACTCCTCCCCACCCAAAGTCCAGTCTTTTCTTCATTTATTTATTACTATTTGGAAAGTGGCCCCTGGAGGCGAGACACTGTTCTAAGCACTGCACCAGTTTTGTCAGTAGTTTTAGGGACTTCCAGTGGTTTGCAGGAATGTAATACTAAGTATCAGGTTTTGTTTAAATCAATGTTTCGATTCCTCTCTAACACTCTAGAATTTCCCTAACTTGGAATTGCTCTATTCAATAATTACAAAGATTATTCCCAAAAGGTTAAAATATTGCTGCTTTTTTTTTTGTTACAGGTGCATTTCTTGGGATAAGTAAATGAATTAGTAGCCAAGGTGGGTATAGTAACAGCATCCTTTACTCAGCAGTGAGCAGACCATCTATTCAGAAAATATAATTACTCAAAAGATTAAGGCTAAGTCACAAGCCGTTTATAAGAAGTGTTTACTTGCCACATTCTAAAGCACTTGGCATTAGGATTGAGATTATCCTGTAGTACGTGATTACTTGAGATGTCTGTATAAAGTATTAAATAATACTTTAATTGTTCTCTTATGTTTAGATGTACAACTTTAGCAAAATCTTTTCAGGATATATTTTAACACGCATGTACCCAAGGTCACACATTCAGATTCTCTCTGAGGGAGTTGGGAGTTGGACTGAATCCATCCATTTGGCTTAATCCTGTGGTTGTTTATATGCCTTCTGTTTTCTTCTCCCTTCTCCTTACTTTCTTGGAAATCTTTATTTCCTGTCACTCACCAAACTTTTCACACAAGAAATCTTGTGAGGTTTTTGTTTATTCTAATCATCACTGGTTGAGTGATTACTGTCACTGCCTTCACTGTCACTGTCACTGTCACTATCACTTCCGTTGTTGTTGCCATTAGGAGACTTGCTCTTGCTGTCACTCTCATCACTACTGTCAGATGCACTGTCGCTGCTTTCATTGCTGTCACTGCTGTCACTATCACTGCTGTCACTGCTATCTGATTTGCTATCACTGCTGTCACTACTATCGCTGCTGTCACTACTGTCACTGCTGTCACTACTATCGCTGCTGTCACTACTGTCACTGCTGTCACTGCTATCTGATTTGCTGTCACTACTATCACTGCTGTCACTGCTATCTGATTTGCTATCACTGCTGTCACTACTATCGCTGCTGTCACTACTATCGCTGCTGTCACTGCTGTCACTGCTATCTGATTTGCTGTCACTACTATCACTACTGTCACTGCTATCTGATTTTCTGTCACTGCTGTCACTACTATCACTGCTGTCACTACTATCACTGCTGTCACTGCTGTCACTACTGTCACTGCTATCACTGCTGTCTGATTTGCTGTCACTACTGTCACTGCTGTCACTACTATCGTTGCTGTCACTGCTGTCACTACTGTCACTGCTGTCACTACTGTCACTGCTGTCACTACTATTGCTGCTGTCACTGCTGTCACTGCTGTCACTGCTGTCACTGCTGTCACTACTGTCACTGCTATCACTGCTGTCTGATTTGCTGTCACTACTGTCACTGCTGTCACTACTATCGCTGCTGTCACTGCTGTCACTACTATTGCTGCTGTCACTGCTGTCACTACTGTCACTGCTGTCACTGCTGTCTGATTTGCTGTCACTGCTGTCACTACTATTGCTGCTGTCACTACTATCGCTGCTGTCACTATCACTGCTGTTACTACTATCGCTGCTGTCACTACTGTCACTGCTGTCACTACTATCGCTGCTGTCACTATCACTGCTGTCACTACTATCGCTGCTGTCACTATCACTGCTGTCACTACTATCGCTGCTGTCACTACTGTCACTGCTGTCACTACTATCGCTGCTGTCACTACTGTCGCTGCTGTCACTACTGTCGCTGCTGTCTGATTTGCTGTCACTGCTGTCACTACTATCACTGCTGTCACTGCTGTTACTACTGTCACTACTATCGCTGCTGTCACTGCTGTCACTACTGTCACTGCTGTCACTGCTATCTGATTTACTGTCACTACTATCACTACTGTCACTGCTGTCACTACTGTCGCTGCTGTCACTACTGTCACTGCTGTCTGATTTGCTGTCACTGCTGTCACTACTATCATTGCTGTCACTGCTGTCACTGCTGTCTGATTTATCTTTGCTGCTGTCTGATTCACTATCATCACTCCCATTGTTACCATTGCCGTTACTGTCACTATCACTAGCATCTGATGTGTTGTCACTGTCCTCATCTCCTTCTCCTTTTGAATCACTGTCATTGTCATTATCTTTTGATTCATCTGAGTTATAAGATGCATCTCCTCGGCTACTGCTGTCATTGTCACCTTCAGAATTGGCATCATCACTGCCATTAGACTCATCGCTGCTGTTGGGACCATCTCCCTGCATGGATTCATCATCAAACTCATAACTATCATAACCATCACTGTTACTCTCACTACCTGTTTGGCTGTGTTCAACCTTATTTCCAGGTTCTGACTTCTGGCCAGGTTCTTGCATGTTGTCAATCTCCCCTTGTGTCTGGACATTTCCATTGCCCACAATCACTCCATGTTGTCCTTTACTCTCTTTATCGCCAATGATTTTCCCAGCTTCTTTGGTAATATTGTTTCTATTGCCACTGCTGGGACCTCCAATTTCTATTCCCTATGGAATAATGGACAGAAGAATGGGTAATTAGTAAATGTTATACTGCAAAATTGCATTGGTCTGAGGAACACTGACTGAGAAAATTGACCCGTGAAACAGAAGGTCAGATTCCAGAACTTCAGAAACATCTGTTTGTGAAAATGTGCTGGATTCAGTACTTGAAAGTGCTCTAGTGTTTGGGTTATATAACAACCCAGCCACATATTTCACCCAGTAGGAGCTTTTATGGTGCAGACATTATTTAGCATAAGACTTTTCTAGAATTTTAACCAAATTTTCAGAAATATCTGATTTTTTTTAAATTGTTGTATATTGCCTAACCAGTTTTGCTCAGTGGATACCGCATGGACCTGTGGACTGAAAGGTCCCAGGTTCGATTCCGGCCAAGGGCATGTACCTTGGTTGCGGGCACATCCCCAGTGGGAGGTGTACAGGAGGCAGCTGATCAATGTTTCTCTCTCATCAGTATTTCTAACTCTCTATCCCTCTCCCTTCCTCTCTGTAAAAAAATTGCTAAAATATTTTTTTAAATGTTGTATATCAAAATCTAGTAAGAACTCTGGCTTTCCCATCAGATAGTCAAGTAATTTAGGTATGAAAATACATGAATGCTTGTCATGATTATTTTTTGTGCTACCATTAGTTGGGTGGAAGAGAGAATTTAAACTGCTATTTAAAAAATCAACTTCACAAACTAACCTTATCTTGGCTCTTCCCATTCGTACTTGGCTCTGATTCTCTGGTAATTCCATTATCCACACCATGGTTTTCTCTGTGATTGGTGTTTTGGATGGCCTCCATTCTTGGGCTGTCATTTTCTTCTAGGATCTGATCGGAATCCTCCTCACTCTCGGAGACATGGTCTCCATCCGTGTCGTGGGGATCTTCTTTGTCCTCAGGGTCATCATCTTCACTGCTAATTGAATTTTTACCTAAGCTATTATCATTGCCGCCTTCTTTTCCATGACCCTGGCCCTCCTGGCCCTGGCTATTATCAGTGCCATCTTTTCCATTTCCCGTTTCTTCACCTTCATTATCACCAGAGCCCTTGTCTTCACCCTCATCTGTTCCATCCCCACTAGGACTCCCATCAGAATTATCGAGGCCAGGGTCTTCTCTATTGCCAGCTCCGTTTCCCCCTGGTGTTACCCCTGCCCCTTCATGACCATTTCTCTCACCTTCTTTCTGAGGTGTTACTGCACTTGTATCACCCTCATTCGTACAGGAATTCCCATTTATGTCATCCTCACGGCCTGTGCTATTACCGCTTCCAGATACTTGATGCTCATCTTCGTCAACCACAGTGGCATTCTCACTCTGACTTGCATCTCCAACATCCCCATTTTTAAAATTCTCATCAGTATTTCCATTAATATTGCTCCCATTTGCTGCGCCAGTCATGTCAACAGTGCTTACTTGTCCCCTAATACCATGTATTCCATCATGGCCATATGTTTCTGATTTTTCTGTGCCCCCATTCTGATCCCCAGGATTCCCCTCTTCATTTACTGACATGGAATGTGTAGCAGATCTTTCCCCTCCTACTCCTGCCCACTCAGGGCCATTTCCTTCTACTTTGTAACCATCTTTGGTATACTGTTGCCTTCCCATTTCATTTTCATGCATAGGGACACCACTTTCTTTGGTGGTATCATTAGCATATAACTCATCCTGAAAAAGAAACAATTCAAAACAAATAGTGAATATCATCGTGAAACTGAAAAGCTGAGCATCAATTTTTTGGAAGGTAATGAAACCTAAAAACACCTTAGAAACACATCTTATACCCTATACCTGTACTGGCACTTTTAATTTTGCTGGAAGACTTAAATTCACAGATTGGCCAACAGCATGTCTCTCCAATGACTTGATTCGAGGAACCTATGAAAATCAAAAACATTCTTATTTTGTGTGCATTCACATACACAGACACACACATTTTTCCCTAAATGAGGAGGGGGGGGGCGAGATATAACACAAAGGCCAACATATGCTCTAATTAGGTGGAAAAGAGAAATGACTTTTTATAGGGTTTATATGGAATTTAAATGGGCATACAGATCGTTTTCACAACGGTGTTGCCAATTTTATTGAAGAATTAACCAGACCATTCATCTCAACTACAGAAGAGGAACAGTCTTTTCTAAAGATAAGAGGGTAGATCTTGGGTGTTTCTCTACAATAAGCCTCTTGCAAAGTACAAGACCTACCCTAAGTATAATCCTGGCCAAATCCCCCAGGAGGATAGTTGGTATGCCCAGAGCCAGTGCATAAGAAAAACCAAGTTATAGACGATGTGTCCTCAGGAGCACATTTGAAATAGTTGAGAAAATTCTCAACTACATTAATACCAAAGCATTTGGGATTATGAAAACATGTAAAAAATGTTAACCATAGCAGCTGGCTAATAAAATTACAAATGGTTGAATTTTCTTAGTTTTTCTTTGCTGGTGTTGTTTTTATTTTCCAAATTTTCTACCGTGAGCATATAAACATTAACTCTGAGTAAAATGTTAGTTTTCTTCTATGTTAAAGAATGCTACTTTTCTTTCTTGAAAACTTTCTAAGCAATACAGGTTTCATTGATATTAGAGTGCAGTTCAGGGCACATGAGCAAAGATGAACAAAATCTTCATGATTTCTGGGGATTGAATGTAAATTGATCTGAATGAATTTTTAAATAAGAATTCTTCTGAGCAGCATGAGTTTTGATTGGAGAAATAGGGGCATGAACTTGGAGTCATGTTTGGCTTTGTCGAGACCCCCAGAGATATCCTGTCAAGTCTTTCGTGCAAATCTGAATGTTTAGGCTCAGCTTACCTGCAAAGGCTTCTATATTTATGTTAGGTTAAAAGGGATAGCCAAATAAGGAGGTTTCCTGAAGATGGCATACTCACCGGAATGGCCCATGCTGCTGCCCAAATGCAAAAACAGATGATTATCTTCATTTTCTTCAAAAATATTAGTTAATGGCTGTTTAAAAAAGAGAATAGCAAAACATTGCTTACAGAACAAAAAAGAATAACCACAGTAATGTATCATTTGGTTTGTAAGCATTTGCCTTTTTCTCAGTCAAGGAGTATTTATCAAGCATAAGAAGGCAGCTGCCAGGACTCTGTGTTCCAGAACATCCCTGGAGTGGTCGTGGAGATGTACAGGCATCATCAGGTTCAGCACCAATGGAACCATCTAGAGCAGTGGTTCTTAACCTATGGGTCGCAGCCCCTTTGGGGGTCGAACGACCCTTTCACAGGGGTCGCCTAAGACCATCGGAAAACACATATATAATTACATATTGTTTTTGTGATTAATCACCATGCTTTAATTTTGTTCAATTTGTAACAATGAAAATACATCCTGCATATCAGATATTTACATTATGATTCATAACAGTAGCAAAATTACAGTTATGAAGTAGCAATGAAAATAATTTTATGGTTGGGGGTTACCACAACATGAGGAACTGTATTAAAGGGTCGTGGCATTATGAAGGTTGAGGACCACTGGTCTAGACTTTTTTGCCTCTGCCAGTGAAGGGGAGCAGTCATATAGCCACAAAGTCATAGCCATAATTTGTGTCCTTCTGCTGTTCTTAAAGGTAGTAATATCTGTCCCTTCCGAATAGTTTTAATCAAGTATTAACTAATGGTACTAAGATTGTGTTTAAAAGCTGAAGCACTTATCATCCCCTCTCTAAATTCATCCATTTGCGTTCTGCTACTGTAAGGGACAGGCGTGAGGGGGCCTAGGCTCATGGAAAGAACATAGAGTTTGGATTTAGAGACCTGGGCTCGAATTCTACCTTTGCTACTTTGCTACTTGTGTGAGTCTGAGAAATTTAAACACTTTACTCGGCCTTGTTTCCTCCATCTGGGATAATAGTAATGCCTGCACTGCAGGATTGCCCCAACCATCTCAGCAGAAAAATCTTCTCGGAGAAGCCTTCTATGGCTCCATTTCTGAGGGTGCTTAGTGTCTCTTTTTTACGTGCAGCAGCTTCTACACACCTCACTGGTAGCCTATTGTACTGTTTTTGGTGGGGTTTTTTTTTTCAAAGCTAAAAACCTAAATTTGTTAAAACAGTTAATGAATTCAGAAAATGATCACAGAGATCCAATTTCTGTAGATGAGGAGTTTCGGATGAAATACACAGAGAACATAATTACAAAAATAGTCAGATTTTCAAAACTGGAGGTGAATAAAAAAACACTTCAGCCAGACAATTAAGAAAAGTATACAGAGAGCCTCTCAGTGTTTATTGTACTGTTTTAAAATAGCCCGGCTACCTGCACGTTCCTCTTCCCTACTGAGCGCTCCCGAGACCCACGAAAATGTCTTGGAAATCACTGTAGTCCAATACAGAGCACAGAAAAAGACCTTTTCTGAATATTGTTGATGAATAAATACTTACTAATATAAGCAATACCTGGCACTGCCCTGTGTATGGAGCAATCTCTTAATAAATAATAGCAATTATTATGAGGGACTTATAAACATATGACCCTTTATTCCTGTTAGAATTTACATTCAGAAATGGTCGAATATACATTCTGATATATTGGAATAGGCATGGTATAGTCCATGTGAATCAAAAATTTAAATTCCCATTTATTGCAAATTGGATTGCTTGATGTAAGGATTCCATTACTGTAGAAAGGAAAGGAGAGTTTTACTCCTATTTCATGAACTCCCACTGGGTTTATAGTTTCTAATAAAATAGCCTTTAGTGGACTTAATGTTGTTAGTGGAAACATAATAAAGCCTTCATGAACATCAACTGCCATAGAGTCATTGGCATTTCTTCAGAGGAGAGAGGACACTGTTTCAGGGCTACTGAGAAAGGGGGCGGGGGAGTGCTTACTCCTGTAGCCGCTCATCAGAAAGCCAAGACCTCCTTCCAAAATGCTGTAGGTGAAAAGCGAGGCCGAGGTGACCTCAGGACAAGCATAACGCAGAGCTCTGGCATGGATGTTGAAGGGCAGCTGTTTAGTAAGCAGGAATTATACTGTACTTTGCAGTCTCAACCCTAATTATTACAGAGAGTCTGCAGAAGGCCAGTGTACACTGTGATTTGGAGGAGCCAGGGTGTCCTGGAAAGGTACCTGTAGTGAAGGCCGGGGTTATGTGCAGCCCGTTTCTGAACTGCAATCCAGAAATCTGACCACGTTAGCTCCCTTTCATATCGGCTCCAGAACAATTGAATGATGCATGATGATGCTCAGCTGTTTCCAGAGGTAGATAAATGGCTTGAAAGATTCCTATAGAAATAACCTCACGCTAGCCAGTTTGGCTCAGTGGATAGAGCATCGGCCTGTGGACTGAAGGGTCCTGGTTTTGATTCCGGTCGAGGGCACATACTCAGGTTGCAGGCTCAATCCCCGGTAGGGGACATGCAGGAGGCAGCCGATCAATGATTCTCTCTCATCATTGATGTTTCTATCTCTCCCCCTCTCCCTTCTCCTCTGAAATCAATAAAAATATATTTTTTTAAAAGAAGGAAAAGAAATGCCCTCAATTTTGTCAGCCTGAAAACAGAGTCTTAAGGATTATGTGTACCCCCTCCAGATTATTTCATGTCACAAATTAAATGAGATTTAGAAATTTTACCTATTTTGGACAATTTTTTTAAGTGAACAGCAAAGCCTAATTAAAGCCCTGTTTGAAAGCCCAAGATGGGTTTTTAAATCTGCCTTACCTGATTTCTTAACAAAACTAACCAAAGCACCAGATAATGATCAAATTTCCACCTCAGTTTGCCAATTTTTTAGTAATGTATCTTTCTTTTTTCAAAGCTATCATCTTGTAAAATGGAAAAGCCTGACAGAAGTCAGAATCTCTAGCTATTCTGAGTAGAAGTGTTTTGGTACAGCTTTCAAAGCCCTAATGTCAACTGGCAAAAAAATAATTTTTTAGGTCAAACATTAGGGTTTTTTTAGGGACCAAGAAGTTATATGTAAACTGAGATCCATTCATGAATTCAACAAGCATTTGAAGATCTAATATGAGCCAGATAAAGAGCCCTAGAAGACAGACATGGGCCTTATCACCAAGTTGATTAGACAAACTTTGAAATAAATATAACCTAATGTGCTAAATCAAATTCATGTTTATTTTTTAACATAATCAGTGTTCAAATGTTACTATTGTTACTATTTAAAAGAGGAAGAGCCCTTGCCAGGTGGCTCAGTTGGTTGGAGCATCGTTCCATACACCAAAAGTTTGTGGGTTCAATTCCCAGTCAAGGCACATTCCTAGGTTGCAGGTTTGATCCCATCAGGGCACATGTGGAAGATGAGTAATAGATGCTTCTTGCATCAATGTTTCTAACTCTCTCCCTTCCTTTCTCTCTGAAAATCAATAAAAACATATCCTTGTGTGAGAATTAAAAACAATAATAATAATTTTTTAAATAATAATAAATAAAAAAGGAAGAGATTGTTTCTTTTTCATTCAATCCCATCATGTCTTACATTGCATTGATGAGACTAAAAAATTCATTTAACTAGGCTCAAGGTTCTCAAAACTGGGTTTCTGAATAAAAATAACAGTAATGGCACTTTAGCGAGTTATGCATGAAATATTTTAATCACTCATTCTGTTTTTAAGATTTTAGATTTAAAATATTTGCTTCATCTTACATATATTCTTTCTATTAGCAACTGGTATTTTAACACTCTGGCTATTTTTTCAAAAAAAAAAAAAACCTACTCTTCAGTAATACAATATTTTGCTACATGGAATCAGTATTGCTTGCCACATAATTTCTCGAGATCTTTTAAAACAAACTCTTGATTTGACAAGTCAAAAGAGGAGGAAAAAAATCTAATCATACAGGGTTATTCACTTCTTAAAGTCTAGTTGGCTTCTCTGAAATTCAAATTTCTTTCTAAAGGTATCTATTGGTTCTGAGTAAAGAGGATGTTTCATCTTACCTTAAAAGCCTTCAAAGGGACTTTGAAAATCCAGGATTTCTTATCTTTTTCTTTGGAGACTGAGTGGCACACTGTCCTAGACTTTTGCATGGTAATTTCGTACCTGCCGAAATTTAAACTCAGTTTGATAATTTTCTCCACCAATCACTGTTTAGGATCCCTGATATAGGGTTATAGCGTGTCACCGTGTCTGTGAAGCACATAATAACTTCCTCCTCTCCTTCCACTTGCTGATACGCGTTTGCTCACTGAACCATTTGGTTCCAAAGGGACTAGACTTACTTTCACTTAATTAAATAGCTGTGGGAGGCTGTTTTGCATTTTAAATATAGAGAATCAGTGTAACATATCTAAAAAGAGCCACTTAAACTCTGTCACCCTGACATTTCTTGTCTTACTAAGGTTGGCAATCTAAGAAAACTCTAGGTTTCTTTAGTAAATATGACTGCCTATTTAAGACCCCTGTCATTCCTTAGGTGGGTATTAAAGTTTCTGTGCTATAATCCCAGAAATGTCCACATACAACAGCCTTGATATTGCTCTGAGAGGTGTCTTTAACAATCTATAAATAGTAACTCCATAAATTCTCTCTGACCCAGACACTGACGTGAAGTTTTAAAATGTGCAATTTATTATTCAAACTAAGTTTTTAAAATAGATTATTTAAAATACCAAAATTTATTGTGAGGTACTTAGATGTGCAAAAGGATGTAAAGGCAAAAGACTGAGCTCTCAATGACCTGTTTTCTGTCAGCTGTGCAAGACAAAATAGAAAACCAGGTCATATTTCTAGCGGAAAGTTTTGGTACTTGAACTCAGCATCGTTTTGAGCTCCAGACATGTGTTATGATGCAGGTACTGTAATAGCTAAAGAGCACAGTTCTAAATAATCAATGCATGAAAGAAGAAACCAAAGGGAAATTCAAAATGTATTGAATTAAAGGAAAACACAAAAATTTATCAAAAATTGCAGACCGTCACTAAAGCAGTTTGTAGGGAGAAATGTATAGCACTAA